GTTTTAAATTTTTGCAGTGCTAAGGATCAAACCCAAGGTCTCCCACATGCTAGGCAAGCACTTTACTACTGAACTACATCCTAGCCCTACGTGAATTCATTTTGGTGTCAAAAGATTCAGATTGGAGATGTAGCTCAATGAGGAGGAGCATGCAAAGCATGTGCAAGGCCCAAGATTCAATCCCCAGCCCTACAAAAAATAAATTTAAAAAAATTAAAAATCTGCAAATATCAAGAAAATGCCAACTTTGGCTCTCAGATTAATTTCATCAGACTTTTGGCTAGTATCCAAGATTAAGTATCTTTAAGTCACCTGTCACAATTTCACTATTAATACCCTTGTGCATATAGATGATGGAGACTCCTGTTGATAGACTTCATGTTGAGTACCCTGCTAGGTGCATTTATTCCCGCTGGGACAAAGACAAGCTAACTGAATGGAAGCAAGGAAGGAAAGAGGCTTTGCAAGGGGAGCACATGAACAAGGGAATTCCATCATTCTTTTGAGAGATTTTGTGGGTTTTTTTGTGGGGAGTTGTTTTGTTTTTTGAGACAGGATCTTTTATATAGTGCAGGTTGGCCTTTCTGTGTACCCCAGTCTGGCCTCAAACTCACAACAATCCTCCTGTCTCAGCCTCCTGAGTACTGGGATTATAGGCATGCACCACCACGCCCAGCTTCGTTTGACAGATATTTATTGAGTTTCCTGCTATCTTTTTTTTTTTTTTGAGGCAAGATCTCTTGCTGTGTAGTTCAGGCTGGCCTTGGACTCCCTATGTAGCCCAGGCTAGCCTAAAACTCACAGTGATCCTCCTGTCTCAGCCTCCCATATACTGGGATTACAGGCATTCGCCATGACGCCTGGTGAGTTTCTTACCATCTATAAGGTGCCTACAAAGAAAAAATTACTGCCACACATTGTGGCAGCACTTGGTAGCCTGACACAGGCAGATCACCACAAGATCAAGGCTACCCTGGACTACATAGCAAGACTCTGTCCCAAAAAAGAAAAAAAAAACACTATTGATATTTAGGTGCTTGCAATTTTGTTTATAATGTTTTTACTAATAGTGTGGTAACGACAATTAGTGGCTGTTTTGGTTACTTTTTCTCATTGCTGAGATAAAATAACCAACACCCAAAGTTAAAGGAGGAAAAGATTTTAGCTCAAGTTGGTAGAGGTTTTAGTTCATAGTTGGCTGGCCCCAAGACAGGGTGTTATGGCTGAGGGCATCACAGAGGCGAAACAGTTCATGGCAGGCAGAAGGCAGCAAAGCAGCAAAGTAGTAAAGAAGCAGCAAGTGACCAGCAGTGACAACAGCAGCCCTCACACCCTGGGTGGGGCACCCTTAATCCTAGCATCCACCATGACTCCTAGAGTCACATCCTTAATCCTTAACACACCCTAGATCCAGCCGCCTATGAAAAACCCCAGCTATGACTGCATGAGGCCTTGGGGGGACATCTAGATATAAGCCATAGCAGTGGCTATGTCAGAACTGATGGATAAAGGTAAGAGAGAGGCCTGAGGCAGGCCTGTTCTATGTGGTGAGAATGCTAGATTTCTTTTAACTTTTTTATTTTTGACTAGGTGTTACCTCCATTTGGTAAAACATTGAAAGAATATAAAAATTTATATGGTGAAAAATAAATATTTCTTTAATCTCAGTTTTCTAAGAGGTACACTTTTATGTTCTAGGTTTATTGTTTGTTTTGGATCTGGTGATTGAACTTAGGGCCTTGGCACTGAGCTACATCCCCTCTCTCCCTCTCCCCACCCCTCCCTGTCTCACTCTCACTCTGTCTCTCAAACACACACACATCTTTCCTTTTCCATCTCCCTAGATACCAGTTCATTTTTCTATCTCATTTTTCTTTTTTTATTACTTGACTGTAGTATGGAAATGAAGTATATTGAAGTTTACTTAAGGATATAGCCTGGTGCAAATATTTGTTATAATATCTAATAAGATGGGTGTGTTGGTGTACTCTTATAATCCCACCCAGCACTCTGGAGGCTGAGGCAGGAAGGTCATCATGAGGTCAAGGCCAGCCTGGGCTACATAATGAGTTTAAAGCCAGCCTAGACTACAGAGCAAGACCTTGTCTCAAACAAACAATCTAATAAAGTTGTTTGTTTATTTTTCATGTTAAAAGCAGGTAAGTGAAATGTGGGACATTTTTCCTAATTACCCTAAAATTCCTTGTAGTTCACCAGAGTAACTGTTTCTTTATGGATCATGGCCTTGTGTTGAAAACCTTGCTATTAGCAATCAGTTAAGTAGGCATTCTGTGTACAAGGGTTTTCATATTTTTTATGTAAGGTCATGGCTGCTTCCGTTTTGTCATTGCATTGCGTATTTCTCCACTGAAGAGAGGGATTTAATTTCCCATTTATTACTGGATTATCCAGTGCCTGATTATCTGGTGCATGTGTTATCTAAGCTTGCCCTTCCTTCCTTCCTCCCTCCCTCCCTCCCTTCCTTCCTTGCCCTCCCTGGAAGGCTTCCTTAATGCTAATTCAACCAGCGCATCTTGTAAGATTTCGACTTCTCTTGGCTCCTGTCCATAGACCTAATGTTTTGTCCTTTAATTCTTCTAACTTCAGATTTCCTTCTTCAGTTAAATATTAATCAAAGATTTAAAATTTTAGATGGACGGAAGAGATGCTACAGAGAGTTTCCATGTGCCTTTCACCCACTTTCCACCAATAGCCTTTTTATTTTTTATTTATTTCGCTCTGGGATTCAATTTAAGATACTTCATTACTAAACTATGTTTTCATGTTTCCTTAGTATCCTTTGATCTATAATAAATTTCTCAGTCACTTTTGACACTTTACATTAGATATTTTCTGTATTTTCTCAACTTGGGTGTGTCAGATGTTTTCTCATGATTATTTTGGGGTTGTGACTTTTTAGGGAGGAAAATACACAGATGAAGATTTCTCCTCATTGTGGTATCTCAAGGGAGTATATGTGATTTATCACTGGCAGTGTTAACCACGAGCCCTTGGCTGAGATGGCATCTGTCAGCTTTCTCCACTATAAAGTTCCTGTGCTCCTCTCCGTATGCACTATTCACTATAGGTGATCAACAGGCATAGTGGTATATACCTGTAGTTGAGCTTCTTGGAGGCTGAGACAGGAGGATTGTTTAAACCCACAAGTTTAAGACCAGCCTGGGCAACATGGTGAGACTGTCTTAAAAAAAAAAAAAAAAGGTGGGCAGGGCATGGTGGTGCCCAGCACTGGGGAGGCTGAGGTGCTATCTTTTTCCTAATTACCCTAAAATTCCTTGTAGTTCACCAGAGTAACTGTTTCTTTATGGATCATGGCCTTGTGTTGAAAACCTTGCTATTAGCAATCAGTTAAGTAGGGGAGGCTGAGGTAGGAGGATCACCTTGAGTTCGACCCCAGCCTGGGCTACATAATGAAACTCTATGTCAAAACAAAACAAAAACCCCTGCCTATTGGTACTAAGTAAGACTCTCCATACTTTTGTCATCATCTGGGCTAAGAGATCCAGACGGTTTTGTGGGTGCTGGAAACCTTTCATTTATCCCCATTATAGATCTCAACTCCACCAGCCGTTTCTGCAGGCCTCCTAACCAACTGACACATCAGCATCCTTCTTGGTGGTGATTATGTACACAGAGTCACTCTCTGTACCACAGCTTTACCAAAGGGAAATCTTGTTTCCTATAACGCACCGTCATTCAGGGATCCAACAACTGGTATGAAGTCTGGAGGGCCACTCTGTCCAGCAGCACTTGGGACCTGGTTGTATCTTTTACCATCTTGCTGAGTCTTTTTAATTTACATGCGTCTCTATTTTGCTTCAGTTAGCAGGATGGCAATAAGGTCATCTTGCTGTGAAGACTTTGAGCCTGGCTTAATTCATCAGATTGGACATCAGAATTTTCTTCTGCTGGTCAATCTGCTTTTCTTTCTTCTCATAGTACTCCATAATCTTCTTTTTCAGTTTTTTGCTGAGTGTGTGTGTGTGTGTGTGTGTGTGTGTGTTTTGAGACAGGGTCTCACTATACAGTTCAGGCTGGCCTTGAACTCGATATCTAGCTCAGACTGACCTCTTGTGGCAGTCCTCCTGCCTCAGCCTCCTGAGTGCTGAGATTAAAGGCATGCACCACCACGCCTGGCAGTATTCCATGATCTTGTCTTTCGGTTTGTGCAAGAGAACCTTTCCCAATGCTGAATTCTTCTGCTTTCACATCTGTTTCTTCTGCTTTCTCATTGGCTTCTTGTTCAGCGAAAGTCATCATACGCTTAATCTGCTTTTGTTTGTCAGCATTGCTGAGAGCCATGGTGAAAGGAGTACTAGGCCTGTAGGCAACTGGCTTGAGTTAGTTTTGTAGAGCCCGGGAAAAAGAATGGGAATGGACAGCCTGGCCAATCTCAGGCATTTTAACCTCCGGGCCCAGGCAAACAAGCAAACAAACAAACAAAAACCTGATAAATACTTTAAATATAATTTAATTTTCTCACTCTTTTATTTTTTTGTTTTGTCTTTTGACACAAGGTTTCGCTGTTTGTTGAGGCTGACCTTGAACTAGCAGCAATCCTTCTTCCCAGCCTCTTGAGTGCTATTGTTATAGGCATGGGCCACCATACCTGGATATCACTATTTTAAAAACTCCTATTTTTCCATGGATGAGTGAAAACATCATCATAGATAGATGCTTGGGAACCATGATCTAGTGTCTTATTGTAAACAGAGATTCTTAGATCTTACCATGTTATAAAAACAGCTGTTACAATCCTTCTTATTTTTTATTTTTTAATAATCTTAAAACACATGCATATAATCCCAGCACTTGAGAGGCTGAGGCAGGAGGATTGCTGTGAGTTTGAGGCCAGCTTGAACTACATAGCAAAAAAACAAAAAACAACTCAAACTTTTAGAATAAGCTTTGAGTATTTGAGCCATCTAGTAGATTCGTGACCTGTTGAATTCAGTACTCAGCTTTTCTGTTCATTGCAGTGACTGACCATGAACTACGCTGTGACGTTAAGGTTGATGTGATACACAGCATTGAAATTGTATCTCGGACCAGGGAACTGTATGTAGATGATTCACCTCTGGAACTGATGGTGAGGGCATTGGATTCTGAAGGTAAAGAGCTTCACAGGATTCAACAAAATTGCCTGAAGTAAAGTAATATTCATTTACCTTTAGCACTTGGAAACAGGAACTTTAGTGATAAAAGCAGATTGGAAATAAGACTTATTTTTGATTTGGAAATCACGTCGATAAGGAAGTATTTATTTATTTATTTATTTTACTTTTAAGGCAAGGTCTCACCCTGTAATTCAGGCTGGTCTTAAACTCACAAGGTAGCCTAGGCTGGCCTTGAACTCACAGCGATCCTCCTGCCTCTGCCTCATGAGTGCTGGCATTTAAAACATTCAATCTTATTGTCCTTTCTCTGTAAACCATTGAGTCATTTTTTAAATCTGAAAAATGAAATACTCTGGAATCTTATAAAAATGTATGTTAATGGATTAAGGGTGCCTCTGAAGGAGGCTTTTTGTAGAAATGAAGAGAAGAAATATAGCTAATTTTTGTCAACCAGAAGTTAACCAGCTTGACTCTTTTTTCCTCTTGGAACGTATGCACAGCCTCAGTACTTATATCGTTTGGTAGGGGTGGTCCTTCTAAATACTTTAGCTCATTAATCATAGTGCTTCTGTTTGTTATAGAAAGAGGCCTAACATACTTTTCTAGTTAGAGTTCCCTTTCTTGTTGCAGATAGCTGAAAATTTTTGAATATGTGATTATATCTTACCTGCTTTTGGCTTGCTCTACAGGAAATACTTTTAGCAGTTTGGCAGGGATGGTGTTTGAGTGGAGCATTGCTCAGGATGACAAGTCAGCAAGAGAAGAACTGCGTAGCAAAATTAGGTAAACTTGAAACCAAATATAAATCATCTCACTCTGAAGGAGACTTCTGCCGTTGGATAGCACACTGAATACCTAATGTTTGTGTGAACTTTGATAATCCTGCTGTCTGGACTTTTTTGAGACAATAAATTCACCAGGGAAAATATCTTTGATAGAATGACATATGCTGTACATAGGTACCTTTATGGTAACTTTCTTTCTTTCTTTCTTTCTTTCCTTTTTTTTTTTTTTTTTTTTTTTTGTGACAGCATCTCACTATGCAGTTCAGGCTGGTCTTGAACTCACAATGATCCTCCTGCCTCAGCCTCCCGAGTGCTGGGATTACAGGCATGCGACACCACGCCTGACCCTTTATGGTAATTTAATTTGAGTCTGAGCTCAGCGCTATATAATTACTTGAGCCAGGTATATTTTGTGGCAGTTTTGCTGCTCAAGGAGTCTGCACATGCTGCAATAGAATGAGTAGAATACTGTGAAATTTTGTCCTCAGTACCAAAGAATAGATCTCAGACCACCCCAGTATTAGTTCTACAGTTTTAGCCACAGTCATTAAATACTTTTCTTATAGTCCATGTGGAAAATAGAAGTTTTAAAATTCTACCTTGTATAGACAAGAAAGAAGAGAGAAACTATGTTTGAAGTCTCCTTGAGATTTTTGGAAAAAGACATGATTTGATTCGCTAGAAACAAATTTTGTGTCATATCTTTAGGATTCTGAAATACTCTGAAGAAGAATATTCTCCCCCAGGCTATATAGTTGAGATGGAAAAAGAGGAGAAACGAGGAGATATGATTTTGGTGTCTGGCATTAGAACTGGTATTGCTGCTGTAAAAGTTCGAATTTATGAACCATTCTATAAGGTAAAAAGTTTGTGCTATAAACTTACATCTTGCATCTATAATCCTTTTTGTGTGTGTGTGTGTATATTTGAGACAGTGTCTTGCTATGCAGTTCAGGCTGGCCTTGAGCTCAGTTTGTAGCCCAGCCCAGGCTGGCCTCGAACTCACAATGATCCTCCTGCCTCAGCCTCCTGGAGTGCTGGGATTACAAGCATGTGTCACCACGCCCGGCTCTTTTTTATTATTATATGGAAAAAAAAATGTCATAATAATATAATAGAAGAATAACAACAGTTAATACATTGCATATCATTATCTTCAAAGTAGTTACTCAGAATACAAGATATGGGCATAAAAATTCTCCAGATGATATTAGCACAAACCTTTCTTTTCAGTGAACAAAGAGAAACCAGTAGTGTATCTTTTTTTTTTTCTAGTAGTATATCTTGTACTTTTTTCTCCTTTCTCTTCTAGAAAGTGGCATCAGCACTGATACGTCTCCTTATTTTAGAGAATATCTTTCTCATACCATCCCATGATATTTATCTCTTAGTAGGAGCATATATTAAGTACCAAGCTGCAAAAATGGTTCAGGGAAGAGTAACAGGTAAGGTGCTTTATCTTTTCCTATAACTCACATTTCCCAAATCCTTTCTGTTGATAACAAAATAAGCAATGTTCTCATATATATGAAAAATACTTCTTTGTTTTTTAAGATTTTATGACAAATTACTTAACCACTGTACTTGAACTAATACTGGAGAGAAATTGTCCACGTCTTGAAATAGGTTCGTGAGATATTTGGGCTACATAGCTTCAGTTCCCATAGGTATCCAAATTCTCTATTAAAACAACCACTAAAAATTTACAAATTTTGTGGGGCAAGTGAAGGGACTTGAATGATTATTGATTTTTGCAAACTTTGTCTCTTGGGCTGGGGATTTAGCTCAGCGGCACAGTGCCTGCCTGGCAAGCGCAAGGTCGTGAGTTCGATTCCAGGTACCGGAAAACAAAACAAAACAAAACAAAAAAGTTGTCTCTTGAGCAACTCAGTTCCTTAGCCAAAAGCTTAATCACACTATTGACCCTAGAAGTCCTACTGAGTTTATAAAGTGTGCGTTGTAAAGTGTCCTTATTTATCTAATGGTGATTCCTCCTGCTGTTCAGTTCCCTAGTTGTAAAGAATACAAGCAGTACCAACAATCAACTCAGCTCCTGTTCCCCGGTGGCTAGAAATTTATAGTGGGAGAGAAATCGGAAACAGGTCATACTCTATTTTAGGCTTGCTTCAGTTCATTCTCTTAAAATCCAGCAGTAACCACTACCACCTGGAATGGCTGTTGCCATTACATTTATGTATCTTTCATGTCTTACAGAGGTGAAATTTCCCCTGGAACATTATACACTGGAATTGCAAGATCACAGAGCTGCACCTAATGGATCTCTTTCTAGCAAAGTGGCTTTACTGGATGAGAAAACGGCCACAGTGACTGCCTTCCAACTGGGCCAAGCTAATCTTGTCTTTGTCCACAAAAGTATCCTTTTGTTCAAGTTTTAGCTGCCAATCAGCCACTTCCTTGCGTGTGCTAGATGTGTTCCTTGGTAAAAATAATTTATTGATATTTATTATAATGCTATTATACTGTCTTTCTATGTTTTATTTTTATTTTTGTGGTGCTGAGGATCAAACCCCGGGGCCTTGTGCATGCAAGGCAAGAGCTTTACCACCACAACACATCCCAGCCCTCTAGGCGTTGTTTTATTTTATTTTTTTTGGTACCAGAAATTGAACTCAGGACCTGCGCTTGCCAGGCAGGCACTTGTGCTGCCGACCTATATCCCCGACCCTATGTGTTATTTTAAACAAGAACTATAAAATTTTATTGTCATAACTTCTAATAAAGGATAGATAAGAAAAAGAAAATAGTGGGAACTTGGGATCTGTTGACAAATGCTTATTTGCATCTCCAGTATAACTAGGAGACTAGAGAAAACAGAGTTTAGAGAACATGCATGAATTTTATTTAATTTCTTCCCTGTTTTCACATGATAATTAAATAGTTGTGGAAAATGGTATTGTCTGAAGTAGATTTTTGTATTTTTGAAGTTGAGCCAACCATGGTGGTGCATGCCGGTAATCCCAGTATTTGGCAG